GTCTTGTAAACGCGTTTTCATTTAACCAATGCGATAATGGCAGTCAGCACGACAGCCGTACTCGAATAGGCTTGTTTACACGAGAGAATTAAGAATTTTATTTCTATACAAGAGAGAAAAGAAAGATCGATATCACTTTTGCAAAAATAATATTGATACCTCCATTTTGTATTATACGCGCAGCATGTAAAGCTGAATATCATTGAAATGAGAATATTACTCGCACTAACGCGGCATCGCATTCCTATGACTACAAATGTAATCACATTTAGCATCGGGTAAAAAGCAGTTTATGCTTGATGCAGAGCATATTAGATGGATATATTCGCGTGACAGTGAAAAAGTGACTTTTTTGTTAATAAGAACATCATCAAGATATTGCATTATTTTGTAACACGCATTCGATCTGCATGGTTATCCGTATCGGCACGAGACGTTTTGCATAATAGCATCTCCTACGAATTCATTACGCGACGTATACTTTAGGTTGGCGCTAGAGAAATGCAGATTCGACGTTTAGAGCTCCCGCGTGCTACGAAGTTTCTTTCTGGGGGATACCTTAATTTATACGCCAATAAAATGTCCGTGAGATTTGTTGAGCGCGCTTTACGAGATGCTTATTGAATGTCGTACAGTGCCTCTATCGTTAAATGAGAAAACATCCGCCTCCTCTTTCGACCTTCGATTTAATTCGAATATAGCAATGCCAATTTTTTTCGATTTCCTTTTTTATTTTACTTTGTTATAATTTACGTGTTTCGTGTATATAAAATCCGAGACAATTTGTTTAATAAATATTAGGCAATTGTGTCTATGTATCGGCTCCGATAAAAAATAATCTTTAAAAATTAAGTGCTCTAAAGCGGTCTGTGTATTACGACAATCATTATTATTAGGTGTTAAACTTAATTCCTGCCGTATTTCGTCTCCAAAATTGATTTGTTTCGAAGGGAAGATAAATGAATACCTTAATCAAAGTAATTTCCTCCATTTTCTACTTTATTACTAATTAATAATATTATTAATAATACTTTATTAATAATACTTTGATTAAGGTATTTCCCTTCGAAACAAATCAATTTTGGAGACGAAAAACGGCAGGAATTAAGTTTAACACCTAATAATACTTGATATTACACAACACTATTAGAAATCAAGGTAACAATGCCTACCCAATCCCTTGAGATATACAACATTTTACTTTTAATTTTCATATACTCAAAATTTTCGTATATATCAAAATGTAAATCAATCCATTTCTGTAGTTGTTTCGAAGTAAACAACATTTATATTGACACATGCGATTAGTAAATAAGTAAATAATATATTAAATCTGAGTAATTTAATATACTTAATACATCTTCTTGATTGAAACAATTCAACTCCATTATTTTGTTAAATCTTATAGGATCTTACATGTGGAAAACACAATCTACAGAAGTCAATGTCTTAACGGTCTAGCTGGATCTTAAGTGCTTGTATAATTCTGTGTGAATTTATATCTACATAGTAATGTATGTAGTCCTTTGAAATGCGCGCCGAAATGATTTTATTCCATCATTTTAGTTAAATTAACGACATATTGAGTACGAGCAGTGACGACTTATATAAAAATATATATATATAATAAAAAATAACTTAAACTGGGTGTAATTTGACATTATGAACAGTGTTTACCGATTGTTCAGAGACTGTTTTGAATTGTTTAAAGGGAGCATCAATACTGTACAAAAATGATTATAATAATTGAGCATCTAGAGACCGTTTTGATACAGAATGTGATACATTGGAAGGAGACGAGGAAGAATTTTCATGGCGTAACGCGCTCGGCCGCAAAATAAGACGGTATGCGTCTCGTTATTAGCTATTCGACCGGTGACGGACAAAAAACGCAATAATTTCATCGGCCGGCCTTAACGACGACGAAGCCGTGACGACAAAAAGCTCAATCTATCAAATTGTCACTGGCCTTTCTATTCCATAGCTCCGCACCTTCCCTAATAAGCAATCTTCTCGGGGACCTTACCGTAAACCGCCATCCACCAGCTGAATGGATTCCGGACCGGTACCGACCATCTTCGATCGCAGGGCCGGTTTCTTGCTTCTTCGACGAGCTCGCCGCGAGTCCTCGATTACGATTTTTCTGAAAATATTGATTTGGTACACGATCAATTTTAAAGGCGACAAAAAGGACTTTATGGTTAGTGTTAATTAACCGCGGGATATACGTGCATCCGTAACGGTTTTCTTCCTCATGAATTAGTAATTTTAAATAGCATTAAAGAGTACTGATAAAACATTGACACAAAACATTAATGTAATACACACGGAAATAAACACATATTTCAGAGATAATTATTTCTACGTTGAAATATACACATTTTTGAAATACGATCTCGAGCCTCCTTAATTAATCTTTTTTGGATCGCTGGATACTTTCATGGACCAGGAATCTCCTGACGTGACGCCTTCCGTGCGGCCGATATTTAAATCCGCTAAGTACTCGCGCTCTCTAATTTACTTTTAACCGTGCTTTGCGTGCGCGGGTTGCCGTCCCTGGACATACACAGCTAGGGTGTTCTTTCGGAACATGTACACTGGCTACCAGATGCCAGACACGAATCGACGAGAACCGCTCCGTTCCGCCGCGCCGGTAGTCGTCATCGCGCCGTCGTCCGAAGACGGACAACCGGCGGTTAATAACCAGCCGATTTTGTTGTCCTCTTTTGCGGCCGGCGAGCGTTGCGGCGCGATGCGGCACCGAAGTCACTTTGCTAATAAGTCATTTGCCGTGCTGTGTTGGATGTCGCCGCTTGCTTATGAAGGCGTCCCTTCATGGCGCGCGCACAAAAGGATGTTTCATTAACCTAAGACATTTTATCGCGCAGACAGTTAATTATTTCCAAGAAGCGATACACGGAGTGTTGCGCGGCGCCGCGGCGCTCCGGATTTTATATTTCGCTCTCTTTTCTATATTAATCGCCAAGCAAAACAAGACGACAATGACAGCTGCTTGATTGATTATTGCGGTCGGATTTTGGCGAAGCATTAATTTTGTCCTCGCGTTTATCTTCATCCAATTCTTCGAATAAATTGCAATAAATTTTTTTTCCGTCGAGGAGATATCGCGATACATGTGTAATATAATCATAAAAGCTGTTTTGTATTTCCTTATAGTGATTCAAATATGTCTCAAACTACGTTACGTAAGCAATATTATTAGAGCACTGTTAGTTATCAAAGGAGCAATGGTAATCCGTTGAGTTAAATACTTTGTTACTTTTAACTTCCATTTGTATCAAAACCATTATTTCCAGTATCATAACTTCCATTAAATCAATTCATTTCTGTTGTTGAATTGCTAATTGCTCTAAATTCTTTGAAGGGATATTTTACTTTAAAGAGTGAAAATTGATCTTGAAAAAGAGTAGCTCAATTTTCAATCTTTAAGAGTGCAATTTCACTCTTTAGAGATTCATTCTAAAAGTTTTAGAGAGTAATTTTAAAGTAAGCGACGGTCATATTAACATTAGTAAATAATATAAATTTAGTAAATAATAAATTTAAATAAAAAATCTATTTCTTGAGTTACAAATTATTCAAATTCGTTCGTTTTATTAACGACACATTGTAGTGTCGGCCTACAGAAATTATTAAAAATAACTTGAATTGACATCAAGGATTTAATGGTGTATGAATGTATATTTTTCAACATTCACAATGCACTTTTGACACACAGTGCCTTTAATTCTCGAAAGATACCGCTCATAATAGGTACGCTAGCGTGCGGTATTCCTTTACGAGAGTAGATCCAGTTTGAGGGAAGGCAAAACTAATCTGCAAAGAATGCGTACAACATTTTCGCGTAAAAGATCTTTATTTCCCGGGTGGACGAGCTTAACGACGGGATCTCGGCGAGACGGAACCGATATGCCGAGAAGGCAATAAACAGGTCGCACTTGCACTGTGCGCGGGTACGTCAGTCTCTCATATCTTCCGATGCTGCATCGAGCGCGGAGACCGCTGTTCGAAACCCACCTGCGAAAGCGGCAGCAACAGCGCTGAATTTAATCGCGAAGTAGAACGGCTTCTCGCGTTTTTACAGACGCAAACATAGAATCGCGGTGGTCGCGGGTCGTTAGCGACTGTCTGTTTTTACTTCCTCCTTCTATATAGCGCGCAATCGTTTTCTTTCGTTTTATCGTCTGGATGGGAAGCTTTTCTCGATTGCCGTTGAAGTTTTTCTCATTTTAAATTTAATGTCTCCCGTGAAGAAACATAAAATATATAAAGAACTCGTATATTTTTATTGTTGCGTTTTTATCACAGAACCCAGTTTATACCGGTCTTGACAAGGTTTAATAAATGAAGTTTGAAACTTAATTTAATATTCGTAACATCATATTTATAATTATGATTTAATTAAGGAATATTCTGGTTTTTTTTTTGCGATTTAATAATAAGTGTATGTATTAAAATATTTTCTGAATTTTAATTGAATTGAGGAGAAATTGAGTATTATTTATGTACACCTAAAAATGACTTAGACAATAAATTACCTACTTGTATAGTAGAATATTTAATAGCTTTTTAACAATTTAAATTTGAAAGTATAATAAGAAATTAAAAAATATTTACTTGTGTACGCAAAGTGGAATAATTCTGAAAATAATGAATTACTTTATATAAAAATATGTTTTCGGTCAAAGAGCAAACTTATTTTCCAAATAAACATTGAATTTAGCAATTTCTTTTAAACAACCATTTCATAATTAATCGACCACTCTAACCTTTCTTAAACAAAATAATTTGCCAGTGTAAAAATGTAGGTATTTCCATTTCTATAAAATTACTAGTCTTTCCGTGAGGACTTTCCGCAGTTAAAAACAAGGTAGCGTATATGTCAAATACTACGTTTATTCATGTCTTTCTACTGGTATTAGTAAAATAGATATTAATAAATATGCCTCACATACAGAAAGCTTCGTTTTGTAAATGTGGTGTAAGATCAATATGCCATCTGTTTTCAACTTCTTCATTTTGAAGGTCTTATTTTCTATTAAATGATCAAATAAAAACACCTTTAGATATTCTTACACCATGGTTATACATAATTAAACTCTGCTCTATAACACACATGTATATACCTACATGTCAATTAGATAAATACACTTATGGAAAATAATTTGAAATACAAAAAGTAGCACAGTATTTGGCCTACAATTATTTCTTATTATAAAAAACATTAACAATACAAGGCAAATTAGAGTAAGGCGCGGTAATTGGTGCGCAGATTTAATTATAAAACAATTTGTGACAATTTTTTACATAGATGTATTTAAGAAATTATGTTAAAAATCCGAACGTTTCGGCCAACATTTGGGGCCATCCTCAACGAAATACAAAAGGCAAACACATGGAGATTTCCTTGCAAACTCACGTAACAGATCGAGTGACCACTCAGATGTAAATTTAAATCCCTTCAATTTGGTTCCATGCCAATCATGAATTGTACAAATACAAATCCTAAGAGGGATTGAACGTTATTAAATTGAACTAGTTATTCAAAAATAAAGTAAAACATTCACCTGCAGGCAAGAATGCAAGAAAAACCTGATAGATATCAAAGTAATTGTACATATAACCGACCATAAATGTATAATTAGATTAAAAAGATGTTATCGTTATGAAAGTCAGAATGATTATGAAGTAACACAAACTGATGTACATGTCGCACATGATATAAACAAACCAGGGGGGAAAACTAAAGTCTGACTAACATATGATACAGAACTACGTATTGAAAACATGTTATAAGGATAAATATATGAATAAGTCGCATTACAATTTATTAAGAATTTCGGTATATACACATGATTTAGTTACATAATCAGTATCAGATTGTAAATTTAAACTATTTTTTTGTAATTTTATGAAAATCATTTCCGAAGTCAAACGTTTGCTCAAATATCTTTCTGTATCTAAAATCCTCACATTCAACCAATCAAATTCATGATTGTGATGCAATCTATGATTGCATTGTTAATGTTTTTTAAAATTTGAGAGTTATTACTAAGCTTTTTATAGATTAGAATATCTAAAAGTGTTAAGGCCATGGCACATAAAAAAATTTAAGGCGTAAGACTTAAGCAGTAAGCGAATTGATCAATCACAATAGAGACCGTAAAATCATACGTAAGCAATAGCGAATCCAACATGTTGATTTCCTTACTGCTTAAGTCTTACGTCTTAAGTTTTTCTATGTGCCAAGGCCTTTATAGTACAAACTTAGAATATCTAAAGGTGTTATTACTAAGCTTCTTATTATTAAATATTTTATGCTTGACTGTAATACGACACACGGCGCTCGATGCTTGTGTTTTGCTTTATAATAGTGTCGCACTATATTATGTGTACACACAGTACACGCCATTACCTTGCGTTATTATCGCGCGATATGGTTGGACCCAACAGCAGCGAAGCGAGATGCTGCGTATATCGTCATAATTCCTCGAAATGTGATCGACTCAAATATTGAGAAACACGAATGCACCATCGTTTCCTACGAACCATTAGCGACTTAACTTACGCGATTACTTAAATCTCATGATTGATGTATAGAGACGTTGGCTATATTTGTTGCTTATTGCAAGTATTTCTCACGGTTTATTCGTTTTAAGGACACGGTTGTGACTTTCGTAGTTTTCGACCTGGCTTCTTGATTAAATCTCTGGCTCTCTAAAAATAATTTCCAGCTAACCGTACTATACAAAATGTTGATAACCTTTTTGTTTTAAAAGCGTCGATTTTCTTCTAGTTTTTGGAAAGATATCTTTGATGGGAAGGTTAGATCTGAAATCTTTTTAGAAAATGCACATTATAGAAAACAATATTTATAATAATATAAATGTCTCCAACAACTGATTGCGGTTATCTCAGGATGGCCAAATCATTGATGATTTTTTTTTTTAAAACATACTATGAGGAAGTTTTAATTTTGACAATTTTAGTACTATAGTCATTGATCTCCTAGAGACAACCATATTTAAGAGACAAAGAGTTATAAATTGTTTTTTATTGCAAATACTCATTTTCGGATCGGTCTTAAGTACAATCTTAAGATGTCATAAGACAATCAGAGAGTTGTATTAGCATCTTATGACATTATTTAAGACAGTCTTAAAGTAAGACGAGACTATGTGAATTATACTGCCCTATTTTATTTCATTGAGTTAAATATTTCGTGGCGACATAACTCGGCAGTTACAAAACGCTCGGCACTTGGTGTTTAAACTTGCTTTGTTTTCTTATGACGTGCTATTGTATACAAGTGGTTACCTTGTTATTCCCGCGGCGAGGCTCGACCCGGCGGGCACGGGGTAAGGCACTCTGTATGTCGTCACGTTATACCTGGAGACGCGATCGTGTCGAGTGCTGCGAGACATTAAGCGTGATCACTGCCTACGAACAATGAGCGAACGGACCATAAGTCACGTAATTATTTAACCCCTGGCAGCTAACAACTTGTGAATCAAGACGATTGCTCGTCGATCGTCGCAGATACTTTACGCGGTTTGTTCATTTCAGATAATCGAGAATTATAAATTGTCTCGTCGTGATACACGTGGTAATTACTACATTGCTCCAACAATGCTTCGGACACGGATATCTAGGAATTATAAATTATCGTCTCGTCGTGATACACGTGGTAATTACTACATTGCTCCAACAATGCTTCGGACACGGATATCTCTCATGTAGCGAGAATAATTGAATTTTTCGCCGTTTTAAATATGATTTTTCCATGATCGTTCTCGGCTCGAGAGTGCGCGATGAAATATGCGAATCGAAGTAATAAAAAAAGTCATGATGTATCGGTCATTAATTGTGCAGTATGTATATAATATGTGTATATTTCGCAAAACGTATATTTAATGTATAATACTATATAATAATATATTTATGTGTATTAGAAATGTATTATGCGTGTAACATTGAGCTTCAATCTTACAATTTTGGACGATTTTTCGTAGTTTACGAAGAAGTTGACTCGCGTCGTATCAAAAACATGGTGGAAGGATAACTCACTGAATCTTCGACCTCCTTGGCTCCTTGGTATGAGTTTCGTTTCTCCACCCCGCGACATCTCTGAATCTTCGACCTCTCTGCTATGAATATCGATAAAAGTGTAAGGGCTGCCAACTGTAAAACGTTAAACATGGGGTGATATTCATAGTCCGTTTTTAAGACCGCAGCACAGACTCTTGCATAACGCATAACGCATAGTGCATAAGCGAATCAACTAATTAGAATCTTTCCTTTCCTCCCATTCCAAATTAAAAAGAAGAATTTTGATTGGTTAATTCCTTTATGCACTAAGCATTATGCGTTAATCGGTCCGAGACCTCGGATGAAGAAAGAATTGACCAATCGCAATGGTCATGTGATCAAATTGTTCAAATGTGATCTGTTAATTTTTTCTCTGTCCGAGATCTCGGACCGATTTCTAGCATCGTGGACACAAGGCTTTATGCAAGAGTGTGTGCTGCGGCCTTTAGCGACATCCATAGACAGAGAGGTCGGAGATTCAGAGAGAGATGCTTGTAAACTGTACACGCCATGTTATCGTTTCCACCATGGATCGGAATTCGGAATGATCGGATGGCCGCGGGACGGTTTGCATTACGGATGTTTGTGAGTCGAATGGAATCGCGCTTCGTTAGGTATACTTGGCCATATTTGACCTTTGTTTCAATGTTTGCACGTAGCGTGGCGTGAATTCAGTGCTCGTGTGTATCGGCGATTCGTTGATCACGCGTAATCCCGTGAATCGTTTGAAATCTGTCGCGGTCGACGAATCTAACCTCAATGTGCTTCTGAAACGCGTTTCGATTCCCACCCGAGTGCTCCGTGCTCCTGAGATACCATTTTATTCTTGTTCAACACGTTAGGTGAACAACGAGGAAAAAATGATACGTAGGTGGAACTCAAGGCAACATAGCCCTGGATATCGTTGGATCGCGGCGGTTAGCGCGTGGAAATTTCCTCTTCGCCGATTCGTATGTCGCATTAGTTTGCGGGACGTCGTGGATCGTAGTTTGGTACGTTATCGTCGCGACGTACCTAAGGATGAGGTGCCGCCGCGTTTTATTATCGTCGGAAGTGTTGTGTTCGATGTGCGTAATGAAGGAACCTGAGACCTGAGAGGATGATGGAGGCCTGGAGGCATCGGGCAATGGAGGAGTAAACATGGGCGAGTATCTGATTTATTATTTGTCATTTATAAAATTTTTTATTTTCTAAAAATTGTGTTATTATAGAAGATATATACATTTGATTGAAGAATTTTATTTCACATTTGAGAAAAACACTGAAAAATTCGTGAAAGTAATTTTTGAAATATCTACGTTTATTTTGGACGCTGCTTTAATTCGCATATATTTGTATTTTACAGATTTAACGTCTTTTTATAACTCCGTTGCTGAGCATCGGATTGGTGAGTCAAATCGTACCCTGTTTTCAATTTGAAGTAATAGAGGTGTGTGAAGAGGAACATTACACATTGGCGTAACATTTTACAAAGCAATTGTCTTGAAATAGAGGAGCTACGACAGATTAGTAGTTATTAGTGAAGTATATATAAGTAATTAATCCTTACTGTACTAATATGGGTAACTAGTGATCAAACGATTCCTGTTCTTGCAAGTTTCTTTGAGTCTTTCGGTAATTATAAATTATACTACATTTTATTATTTTAAAATAAAGAGTCAATATTTATTCTAGAAAGTTGAAAGTATGACGGTGAACTTTTAGAGGCTTTTTGAATTATTTTGAAGAAATGAAAAAACGAAGAGAATGTAGTGATCCTTAATAATATGGATGAGGCACCAAATTGTACATATATAGTACGGTAAGAGTTAAGTATTTATTAATAAGACAAAATATAATAATTAATAATATTAAACATTCTTTAAGATAACATTCAGGAACCTATTAAAATATAATATATTAATAATGTTATTTGTGCAATTTTTAGTATATATCACAACTGATCAAACTGAAATTTTTGACTTTATTGCTTAATTGATTAGTGAAAAGTATCAAGTAAATATAAGTAAAACTTAAAAAAAAAGTTTAAAAAAAATAGGAAAAATTGTTAGTATTTAAAATTATTAAATTAGTTTTTCTTTTTTTTTTCTTTTTAAGCATATTTATTAAGTAAATAAAATTTCAGATCTATATTTGGTTTATCTATATTTTAAGATTAAATATTATACGAATTGATGCGAAAAAGCAATATGTATTCAGTTATATTTTCAATATATACCGCAAGCATAAGCGAAGAATATAATATTTATATTTATTTATTATATCTATTTATACTTTATTTATTTATAGACATTTCAGTTTGATAAAACATCGATATAATTTATCTTATCTAATTTATTTATTAAAAAATAATGATGACTAGTTGTATTTATTTTGATAGTGCCAATATTATAATCTTTTCAAATCATCAATTTTATTTTAATTATAAAATAAGGTATATAAAGAGGAGGAACGAAAAAGTTTCTATGCAATGAACAATGGTACCATGTATATAATATACTATGGATATATTATATTTATATATAGGATATGTGTATGATATCTCGGGATGTCCCCTATTAATCATGCAATCGTACAACACGTAAATAGCTTCAACTTTCAAATGTGCAATTATTCCGTTTCTTAGCCGATAATATGTTGATAAAAAATGTGATTGTATACTATTCATATTTTAAAGCTACTGCCTATTTATTGTAACTATCTTAGATTGTGACGTCAGACACGAGAAAATACATAAAACATTTTTTGCAATATTTTGCATATATTAAAAAATGAATATTTAAAAAAAATTAGCCATCGATACATGGAAAAAACTGTTTTACTAAAATACCTAAAAATTTAGATATAAATCTGGAAATAATTTTGTTGGACTATCAGAATGACTATGCTAAGAAACTCAAACTTGATGAGTATTGCTGCAAAAAGTTTTAATATTCTAACATTCAGCTTGAGTTTTACATAATTATTTTGATGGTAGTACAAAATTATTTTCCAATCTGTATCAATAGCCCAATTTGTAGATACTTTAGCAGAATCGTTCCATGTAGAAATTTGAAACATATATTCTAGAGACTTCCATTGTGTTCTGATAATAAACAAATAACGATATATTTTAAATTAAACTATATCTAACGAAAACATGAAACAAGCTGTATGACAGCTATCAAACTCAGATAAATATGATTTTATTCTATTTCAAAATAAAGGAGAGTTTTTAGTATATTTCAAACAAGTATATTTCATCAAATGTAAATATTGTTTTATTGAAAAGTATTTCTGTTTCAACATATTTTGCAAGAATTTCTATTATTTGTTTTCTGACATCATTAATCTGAAGATCTGTGAGTAAGTGATCAGGAAAGAGATAAAGCTTTATTTTCAGTATCACATCCGACGACACATTTCTGAAATGAAATTCAAAAATGAAAGATCTAATATAAATACGCATCGTAATAACCCTAATTCCTTATCAGTGTTTATATCATTTTGTTATATAATTTTTTCCTAATTAATTTTTAAATGTCTCTAATCCACACAATTCTCCAAGGGATGTTCTACGTTCTAAGGACGTCCCCAGAATGTCTCTCAGAGAACTGTGTTGCAGGGACATTTTATTTAATTGCACATAAGTTATATGTATCTCTAGCGTCGAAATCTTAAACAAAATGCATGTGAAATAATGGCAATGCGTATAAATCGAAAGTACCAATCTTTCCGGCTTTCAAGGTGGTCCTTTCCGGCAGCTTCCAGCTCACGCCGATCGAGCGTAACTTCGCGCTTTCGATCAGCTTTGGCCATATCGGTAATGGTGTCACGTATACCGATCCGTGTATATAACGTCTCATCATGGACAGTAACCCAAGGCATTGCCTTGGTCCGATGTAAAGATTTCGCAACGGGGAAGCGCTCCTCGCGCGCTGATAAGAGGCAGGCGGGCCGCCCCCCGGGGGCGGGGGCGTCGGGCCCCTCGAATTACGACGTTGCAATAAATTTAATAAAGCCGGAATTAATGTATGGTTGCTCGTTTCGGCTGAGAGCACGGCGCTCCTTATACTTATGTCCCGCTTTCGCCCCGAAATTTGAAATACAAGTAAGTGCGTGCGCCGTTTAAAACGTAATACGCGCATAAATTGCCGCGGTAAGCGTAAGAAATTGCTCTGCCGAACTAAAAGCCGCGCGTTGTATAAATTCCTATCTTATTACCGGGCCGCACGCGCGGCCCGTCGCGATACCTCGCAATTTTAATTCCGTGTGCTCTTTTCGCAGTTTTCACTGTAATGGATTCGCGTGGATTTTTTTTTTTTACGCGCGCCGAAAGGCGACTAATGTTCGTACGTTTGGCAATTATTATAGTCATTTTTCTACGAATAGATAGAAATATTTATGGTTCG